TTTAATGTGTCTGTGTCTGACTACGTATTCTTAAATCCAAATGGTCATGTCCAATTGACCACTGAAAACTCTTCAAGGGGAGAATGAGTTCCATAAAGGTGACATGAAGCCTTGGGATGGGGAGGTGGGTGGATGGGGAGAAGAAACCAAAATTATACAGACAGAATGGTATTCTTTACATCACAAAACAAAGGATTTTGTCTTTTCCAATTTTAACTCTTATTATTCCTAATATTTTTAAGCCATGAGTTAATGCCTCAATTTTTTACTAATTAGCCTAAGACTCAGGAATCATTTGTCAGTCTAATTTACTTGGGTTCGTAGTGTTCTTCTTCCTCATGAAAAACGCTTCTTTCCAAATGGGGTGAGTAGAAGGCAGTGGATTACCTTTGTGAATAAGAGTCTGTTTATTTTCACTCTGGCAATGAGGTCATCTTCTTACCTGCTCTTATCTTTCCTGGTCCTAACGCAAGGATAACTTTGGATACGCATCAAAGGGTAGTTACACAAAGTGTAATCCTGGAGGTGAAAACGAGGGTTTGGGGAATAATCAAATGACATTTAGCCCTTGGAGAGCGTGGCACAGTCCCAGCTCCAACAAACTCATCACCCTGTTGCAAAGCTCTCTCTAGAATCTTTTTTGATAGAATTACTCTCTGTGTTCCAAAGAACCTCAGTGTTTGCTGGTTTTGAGGAACTCTCTCTCTGTGTCTCTCTTTTTGCTTTATTATTCTCTCTCCTTTCCTTCATCTTTAAGCTAAGTAAATGCCAGCTAGACTAAGTATAATAGAATTCTTTCCCACACAGCTTCTCACAGTTTACCTTTACTAGATAAGTCATGTGTCTCTAAGTGTTTGCAGAAGATATAAAGATTTCTCATTATCTGATGAATGAACCCTTGTGGATTTTTCTCCACAATACCTATTAACAGCATACAGAGCACTAGTGTTTCTATAGGAAAATAATTTCAGAAATATTGTTCTAGAAAAATGTTCCTATGACACAACCTATATCCAAGAAGAACTCCATTGGATTGCCAAGGAAAAGGCAAATATTCCCCATTTTCTGCCTCCAGTATAACTCTGTAAGAGTACACCACAGTTTTAGAAAGACTATTGACATCAATACCACTCTAAATAGACATTAATCTCCTTGTCTCACTTATATTTGATCTCCAGAACGTAAGAGTGGATGATGTCTGGTAGATTACAATTACACATTAGAGATTCCAAGAGTCTATATCCAGGTCCTGTGCATAATGTAGGAATGTGTATAAATGGCTTACACTTTTATTTTGATGACTGCTGTGATCATCAGTTCATCCCTCTTTAAATGAGTCCAAGGATGAGGTTAGATTAAAAATAATTTTTATTTGACAATTAGGGCTGATGAATTACTTGATTAAGTGGCTTCCTTCTCTAATCATGGAGAATATGCCAATGATGAAACAGAGATAACATAGTAATTTTGAGTGATGATAAAAAGAGAACTATAGCCCTCCAAAATATCTTCAAAATATGAAAATACCAAACAAGCCAGTGTTGGAAACAAGGGATGTTGAAGAAGTGGTCTTGGAAATTTGGCTAAATTCACTATCGAGTACTAGCGTATTTCAATCACATTTCGTACACCTGTTATGTAAGTAGGACTCTGTATTTATCCAACCAGGGAGCCTTCCGAGAGCAGGTTACATTAGCAAATGCTGAGAGATGATTTCCTGAAAAGAGTAGCAAAATGCAGTCACAGATATTTAATAAAGAAAAAAATGAAAAAGGGCATGGATGAAAATGAAAATTAATAGTCAACATGTGATTTCAAAATTTATTTCCTTTTAGTTATCACAGGGATTTGTAACTAATATTGACCCAGAACTGAGAAAATGCTCAATGTCACCGATGTGACAGAGTTTATTCTCTTGGGACTCACCAGTCGCCGGGAATGGCAAGTCGTCTTCTTCATCATTTTTCTGGTGGTCTACATCATCACCGTGGTGGGTAACATTGGCATGATCATGTTAATTAAGGCCAGTCCACAGCTCAGCAGCCCCATGTACTTTTTTCTAAGTCATCTGTCCTTTGTGGATGTGTGGTTTTCTTCCAACGTTACCCCTAAAATGTTGGAAAACCTATTATCAGAGACAAAAACGATTTCTTATGCTGGTTGCTTGGTACAGTGTTTCTTCTTTATAGCCCTTGTCCACGTAGAGATTTTTATTCTCGCTGTGATGGCCTTTGACAGGTAAATGGCAATTGGCAACCCTCTGCTCTACGGCAGCAAAATGTCACGGGTTGTCTGTATTCGACTGATTTCTTTCCCTTACGTGTATGGTTTTCTGACGAGTCTGGCAGCAACGTTATGGACGCATGGCTTGTACTTCTGTGGGAAAACTGAGATCAACCACTTCTACTGTGCAGATCCACCTCTCATCAAGATGGCCTGTGCTGGCACCTTTGTTAAAGAATATTCGATGATCATACTTGCAGGCATTAATTTCACTTACTCTCTAACCGTAGTGATTATATCTTACCTGTTCATTCTCATTGCCATTCTGCGGATGCACTCGGCAGACGGGAGGCGGAAGGCCTTTTCCACTTGTGGCTCCCATTTGACAGCGGTCGTCATATTTTATGGAACTCTTATTTTCATGTATCTCAGACGTCCCACAGAGGAGTCCGTGGAGCAGGGGAAAACGGTGGCTGTGTTTTACACCACAGTGATTCCCATGTTGAATCCCATGATCTACAGCCTCAGGAACAAAGATGTGAAGGAGGCCATGAGCAAAGTGGTCAGCAGAACATGTTTAACAAAATAAAGCTGGTTATTTTTGTCCTCTATGCTTCATAAATATGTTGCTCAACAGATTATTGCTCAGTACGTAGCTAAAGACATTTAAAATGCTGAAGACTTGTACATTGAAAAGAAAAACAAGAGAAAGATTAAAAATCAGACAAGAAAGTAGTCTGACCCATTCTTGTGGATATAGGTAGTCAAAATTAATTAAAAAGTAATAAGTTAATTAATAGAAAGTATTATTTGAGCCAAAATTCAAGGCATGCTTATTGAAGTTGTTCATATAGGTAGCTAGAGTGAAAGGATTTTATTTTTCTTATTCGAAAACCCAGTGGATGAATTTAGAAAATATTTATCAATTTGCCTATATAGAAAAAAATAGCATATTTCATTTGTTTTTCTAGTGTGAGGGCATAAAGAAGGAGGTCTTGATAATGGCTGTGAGATTGTGTGATATTAAAGCTTCTTTCAGTGTGAACAATTGGTCTGTTCAGAAATTACTATTTTGAAAATAGCAATCCTATTGTATTTAATCTCTTTCATAGTTTCTGGTGTTTAAGAGACACAGCATGCTAAGTGTCTCTGTTTTATAGATTCTACTCACTGCTGTATTTCAACTCCAAGGTTGCCAGTGATCAGCCTGCGTCCATCTCATGGCTAAAGTGTCTTCATTCTGACTGAAAAGTGGGTCTAAGTAATAGATGTTTCATTTTGAAAGCACAGTTTTCACTAAAAAAATTCAATTGATATTCATGTGGAATATTTTATACATTTGTGATTTAGATATGGTACTTAAATACTTTAAAATAATTTTTGTATTTGAAAGAAATAAAATACTGAGGATGTCCATCTGTTATTAACATTGACATGTACTGATATAATATATTAATATAATCTGGTTCTCTCTTGCACCTCATTTAGGCAAGTATAAGCATGAGGCAACAACCTTACAACTTGAACTTCCATAAAGTTCCTATGTCTTCTAATAAAAAAAAATGAATAATAAATAACCTGCTCTCTTGGTGTAGAAAACACATAGCTACTGAAAGTTCAATCACACATTTAAATGATGCATTTAGGTAATCACATATTGATCTGCAAAGATGTAAATATAAAATGAGATCGGTGCAGTGTGAGAACATTCTTCTCTGGCCATTTTTGAGATTTTATTTTCCTTAAGGGAAACCAGTGATGCATATGAACTCATTTCCACGTACAAGCACATACATCGTGGTCAAAACTTTAAAGCTATTTGCATATAAATAAATTGCTTATTCAGATTAAATTATAATAATATTACTTTGCTTAGAGTTGCAAAACCTAAACCCCTAAAATAATTTAAGATGTTATTTACTTATTGTTACTTTTTAGGTGAGTTAAAAGTAATTTCTTTTGGCAGTAAAACCATTAATTCACCATTTATTGGCAAACTTGACATACCAAATTGCTGATTACTAACAAATTTTAAAATATGGTTTTAAAGCATTTTAGTACCTTGTGAGCAAATGGACTTGGATGATCTTTGTTACATCGTTTTCTTCAAAAGTGAACTACTTTCTCTGCTTACTTTTTGAAGTGTTGGTTTAGTGTTACATGAAGAATGATGACAGCAAGGTAAATGGTTAAATCATGTTCCTGGTTTGAGTTTCCAAATTTCAAATAAATTTATGGGTGACCTTGATCTAATCATTTGTTGTTATTCATCCTGTTAAATTTTAGGTACTAATGTCTGACTCCGAGATCTCTTCTGGTTCATAATTTCCATGAGTTTGGATTCTTGAGCAGAACGTAAAGCAATTTTGCCATTTGCTGAAAATTCAGAATAGTTTTGTAAAATACTTATAAAAATACACCTTAATGTTACATTCATTTCTACATCTATCAACATCGTTACATTTCAGCGTTTCCAACATAAAGTGTATTTATCTTTCTCTGTCACTGTCTCTATTTTGCTCTCTCCAACACACACACACACACACACACACACACACACACACTTTCTTCTTTTTAAACCTACATTTACTTGAGAGAGTGCATGTTACATTGTAATAACATGGTGTCAAGGAGTTTACCGGATGCACTGTCTTCATAATGAGTGAGAAGGAACTTAGGAGTTGTGGGTACTTGGAGATAAAGAATGCAGAGGAAAACGTTGCCTGAGTACCGTTCTATTATTTTGCAGATGGAATTGGGGCAGTATATAGTTTAGAGTTTATGAACGATCCACATTGGCATTCTGTTTCTTTAACCAATTATCTACCTAAAATTGGTAGGAAAACTTAACCTCAGAGTTATTTTACATATGCATATTTTTATCCTTCAACATAGCAATGATATTGACCACAGTCCTACAAAGGTGGCGACATCATACTTGTGAACTGTTTATAAGAGAAAATGCAAAAAGAATTTCAAGTCTTTGAGAGCTTCATACGAGACAGACATTGTCCTGAGAATTAGCCCTAGGTTATCTGAGATCCCCACCCCAGCCTGTGGGACAGTAGTCTCACATTCTGCAGATGAGAATTGAAGCTGAGAATCATTACTCACCCAAAGACACATAATTAAAGTACAGAGTTAAGAAGATTTGATTCCTGATCCTTCTGACATCAAAGTCAGTGCTCTACTGACTCCCAGAAGAGCCTCAACTAAGGGAAACAAGTTGTTCTGCTATAATCAACTTCTTCGCCAATGACCTGTACTTTTACTCATTCTCCCCAGATGTTTTGAAATGGTCTCTGAGGCACCTGCCATGTGTCTAACATCCATGAGAGGTGTAGGGCATGCATTGCTGTGATGGTCTCTCCTGAGAGATGATGCTTATTAGAAATGTAGCACAACAGACATGAAAACGACTGACCAAAATTTTATAATGCAAACCACGACTGTTTCCCTGAGGTGCATAATTGCCAGGTGTGAATGGAAGGGAGAAGAACCCGTGTGAAGGTGGGAGAGATTAAACCATGACGTTAAGAATTTTGATTTCTTAATTTTAGAAACATAAAAAGTAGTCTCCTGATTAACACTCTTTAACTCCTCTTACTCCTGAGATGTTTCTGTTTCTAGAATTTTAAGTATCGTTTCTTTCATAATTACCTGGGTAATTCCTTGGGGAGAGGCTCTCAATCCTCTCAGTGTTTAAGGTTTTATTATAAATAGTGAGTCATTATCATTTGCTTTTCTTACTGCTGAAGGTAGGTCTGCAAGTTTTACACTCTTTACAGATTAATGCAGTCACATCTTTCAATTTTTATTCTTGTTTTGAAGAGTAGACTAAGACCTTATTTGTAGACTTACTAGTTATCACAGTGTTTTATTGTGTGGAAATGTATTACAGGGAAATAGTCTTATTTGTATCCACAGTTTATTTAAAACTTCATATGAATGATCTAGCTACAATGGGGATTTACAAAAAATGTATTCTGCATTATTTATCTTTTTACTTTTTCTCTACAATGACCATTGATTTTCACATTGTGTTTTAAAATAAATGTAAGTGGAGTTGAAGCTTTTGTGTCAGTGGAAATGATTGGAGCAGTAATTATACTGTCACTGTTTCTCTTCATAACAAATTCCTAAAACATTATTAAAATTCAGTTTTAAAACTTGTATGTTACATATTCTATATTTTTAATTGTTTAATAGATGATGTACACTTATATAATAAATTGGCTCTATCCCAGAAGTCACTTGACCATCTGATCCTAGGACCTTGGAATCGCCTAACCTTGAGTGGTAGCGTGAAGCAGTGGTCCATTTACTCTGTAGTTCAGTCTGCTCTAGGGTCATGCAAAGCTCTTCTGGTTCATCAAGAATGAACTATTTAAAGGATAATATTCTTCTTTTTTGGAAGATACTCAAACTGAAATTTTAAATGTAAAGAAATAGAATACTGGGATAGGTTATCAAAGAGGCAGAAATATAAGATTATTAAGGATACAACACAGAAGTTGAATTAATTGGTTTGCATCTCAGTCTGACCAGTTAGTAGATGTCCGATCCAGGGAGACCTTCTTAGCCTTTCAGTGCTTCAGTTTCCACATTTTTAGATTGACTATGCAAATAGAACCTGGTCCATCAGAACTTTACGTGCAAAGGATTTAGTAAGCATTCAACAAAAATTAGCTATTCTTACTCATATTTTAAAGCTGAGACAGTTGCCACTAAAACAATCTTTCCTAGAGGCTTTAATAATATTGGAATACTGTAATGCATTACATAAAGCTGATCTAGAGATCAGGACACTTAAAAAAATCTGAAGTGTGAATATTGCTGAGTGTCAGTTACATTTAACAACTAAGCCAGACAGTTTAAAGAGTTTCAAGATGAATGAGACAAATGCTACTAGCACAGAGCTGGTGATTATGTGTAGGGGAAGAAAAATGCACACATCACGCAGGAAGCAAAACTGTAGAAGCAGTTTTAGTCTATGTTTCTTAGATGCCTTGATGCTTTTGTTAAATATATTTTATGCTTAGTAGTGCCATTAACCCAGTCAGACTCTGTTGGTCAGAGAACTATGGGCTCATCGAGCAGGGTCAGGAGTTTTCACACAGGAGAGTCCCCGACCTTAGCTCTGCTTCCTGACCAGCGTCTGCATCTCTCATCTGGCTGAGTATTTCCACAGTTAAGGGAAGCCAGATGATCTACAATCATGGAAATCTACAGTAAGGGGGAAGCCAGATCAGAAAATGAAGCTTCAGTGCCTCCTATCTTATGTGCCCAATTTACTTTATACATGGTGTACTTCATTCCCATGTGAATAATCAGAGATGGGAAAATAGTTCATAGAGACTAATGAACTTCCTAAATGTCCTCTGCTATGGATTGGAGGGGACCGTGATATAATCATAGAATTTACACACTGTTTAATGTTAAAAGAATGGCTCTAGAGACACTCCTTTTCAACATGGCAAGCTAATAATTCCTTTCGCATTTTCATTCTCTTCTTCCCCATATTTCTACGTGGCTGGCTTCTTCTCACTAAGTAAACAGTCATATTTTCAAAGAGATCTTCTATCACCC